ATTTGAAATCATTGAATAGAACTTTGCATACAGGCAGTGTAATTAAGCCTGATGGTCCAGGAAGAAGTCTGAAAGAAGATGTTTTAGTGTGTTCAGGGTATTTAAAGGAAGATGCCTTGCCTGGAGAATATGAGGGAAAAAAAGTGTCATGGTAGATCTGGTCCAATCAGATGATGGAAAGTGGAACTGCTAACCCTGTGCTCATGGGGTTGGCATGATACCTGGGAAATATCTGTATATTTGTATTAGCAGAGTTGATAATTTAGAGCACTTACACTTTGAACTCCTGTTAAGTAAGAATATATGTTAACTAAATACATTGCTAAGGAATTACCCTCTCCCAGAGTCATTTTAAAAAGTTCTCCTTTAGCAACAATTGCAGCACCTAGAACACAGTGCACAATCTCTAAACCAAAGTTTGGTGACAACTTCATCATAAATCTACCTCCCTAGTCACCTCCCCCCATTTTGGAAACAACCCTGTTTATCCAACAGTGAGAGTTTCTCCTGCACCTCTTCAGAGAGACTCAAACACTGTCATGTTTCTAACTCACTATGTGCCCTAGCAAGCACATCAGTGATCTTAGTCGGCCATAGTTTGAATTTCCCTTCCTCTCACATGTAAGCGACAGAGAATTAAACAAAATTTAACTTGAAGGTCCATGACAGATAACTGGTATATTTTTCACTTAGTGTGAGACAACTACTAGAATTTTAACTTAAAGGGACCTGATCAATTCAGCTGAGGCCCATTCCACCAATGTAGCACTGTAAAAAAGGCAGCCCATGCCTAAAATTTAATTAACAGAGGGAGAAACTTTATCACGATAACTGGTGTCCACCACCAGAGCCATGAGTTTCTCATAGCTCTATTCTTCAAACATGACTTGCAAAGCCAGTCACTCCTCAGCCACAAGAGTCTCTGTACCTCAGTCGACAAATCTAGATGGACATGGCCTGGAGTGGGCTTTTCTGTGACCACACTTGCAAGCATTAATGGCCTCATAGGCACACTATGAGAGGACAGAGGAAGCCTTTGGGGGATAACTAGACTTTAGTATTTAGAGTTATATTCAGCTTCTAAGGCTTCAGCATTGTACTGTGGGATACATAGTTCTCCTTATGAAATTTGTGGAAGAATATTTCAGTTTCACAAGTAAATCTGAGAAAGTTTTTGTACATGGGCATACAGAAGTTCTCTCAAATCCTATTTCTTAGGCATTGCATGGATTGGATCTCAGTTCTCTCCAAATTTTTCTAATCTTTCCAATATAGAGATCTGCACAGAGGATGCCAGAGCAAATGTTTGGTGTATTGAAATTCCAACTTATTATCTTTCTTCTTGAAAAATGTATTAATAAAATATGGATGTTTTCTAGTTTTTAGTTCTGGAATGCTTGTAGTTTTCTTTTTTCTGTATAGTCTGGACACTCCAGCCACAGTCCTCAAGTCAAGTGAAAAGTTTATTGCAAAACACATAGAATTTTCTTCTTCGAAGAGTCAGTTTGGAAAACAGAACGCTCAAAGTAGGGGGAGGTGGAGAGATATATTTTGGTAGGATCTGGGCATATTGTAGTGAAGACATCCAAAAGGAACCAAAGTTTTTGTAAAACTCTCTGTTTGTGAGTGATTTAAGACATTATTAGGAAAACATGAAATGTAAATTAGAGACTCAGAGATGCACTTAACTTATACTACAGATGTATTTTAAAGAAGAGGTGGATGTTTTGATTTTAAAATAAATAAATACACTCATTTCACATCATTAAATTTACTGTTTAAGTAGAAATAAAGGAAATTTTTAATACCAAAAATGTTTAAAATATAAAAAGGTTGAAAACTTTATCATTGTTTTTATACATGCACACATACTCCATCACACACACACACATACACATTCAAACACCAGTGTAAATGCTCTTAGATTTTAGAGATGATTTATTCGTTTTATTCATATAAATTGACTATAATAGTTTATTCCACAAGTTCAGCTGAAGAAAAGAATTAAGTGTAGAATTTTTCAGTACCGTGTGGTCTTCCTCAGAGATCTGTAAACAGCCATCTATGAAGATGTGTCCAAGCTCTATGGTAACTTACTGAATCCCTTGTGAAAGATCTTCAATTTCCAGTGTATTATTGGTATTTGCTCAGAGAGTAACCCAGGCTTTAGTCATTCATCCTGTCTTCATCATTGCGTCTGTATCTGATTCTGTGTCTCTAACACATTGCATCCTCTCATAATTTATGTATTATCACATATCTGGAAATATTTTCATTGGACTACTGATTTAGAGCTAGCTCATTTTTTTTTTCTTGAATTCCCTCCAATAAGAATCACCAAAAAGAAACCCTGATGTATCCTGCTCTCTTCATGGAGAGGAACCCAAAGGTCTATGTGGTCTGTGAACTTATTTTGATATCAGCAACTTGTTTGTTTTTACTGTCCTGCACCCTGAAACTCTCAGCATATACTCACAAACGCCTTGCTTTGCCATGATCTTTTTATTGTTGTAAACATATATATATAATGCAACATTTGCTATGATTCTTAATGATCAGGAAAAATGAACCACATATGAAATAAGTATTTAATAAATATACTAATGTTTTGTTTAAAAAAAGTCCAGTCCTACAGCTTACAGTATTTTCATTTACACACTTTATTACATTATAACCTTATCATTTGGATTCATTCTCAAACTTCTAAATTTAAAAAGAAAATTATAACTATTCCTCTGATTGATGGATTTAATGCATGACCAAGTATTGCACTTCCATTGATCCTATACCCACCCAACCCATTGCCATTGAGTCGATCAACTCATAGAGACCCTTTCGGACAGAGTAGAATTGCTCCAAAGAGTTTCCAAGGTTGTAAATCTTTACAGAAGCAGACTGCCACATCTTTCTCCTGTGGAGTGACTGGAGGATTCGAGTTGCTGGCCTTTCCATTGCAGCTGAACACTTAACCTCTGTGCCACCAGAGCTCCTCCCATTGGTACTACCATACTTCAAATAGTATAAACTAGAAGTCTAGGATTGTCTTTGCTCCTTCACAGACTTTTGTTCCATATAATTTTTTAAACAACCAAAAAGCTTATTATTTTTAGACCCTAAAGATGTCTCATAGCTATCCATTACTTTCCATGTTCCCTTTCTTACATTAATTTACTATTGTCTCTTTTTGAAACAAACCCGATATCCTCTCATGGTTTTCTTCCCCTCTCTTACCTTTCTCAAATACATTTTATACACAGCTCAAATGATATTTAAAAGCATCAATGAAATTTTATTAGTCCATTCAATAACTTCTCATAATTCTTTGGTTAGATACAGAGTCCCTTGCCACAACCAACAGGATCCTATGTTATTCGGCCTCTTCTTCTTCTTTCAGGCTCTTTTCAAAGCAATCATCCCTTATCTTCCAAGACTCCATCCCACCAGAGTCTTCCACACATACCACTTTCTGCTACAATTATTATTTCCATTTTTTTTCAGTTAAGTTACACTCCCTCTTCAGATCTCAGCTTAACATACCCCAGGGAAACTTTCCCATATCTCAAGCCAGAAGATGGTGTATTTTGAGACCCACAGTCTGAAAGCAGTTTCTTCTTTCTGTTTTATCACTAATTCATGACATATTTTAAACTTGGAATTATTTGAATATTTGACTCCAGAACAGATGGATATCTCCAATAGGGAAAGATTACAGTCCATTTTCTTGCAGTAAGATCATTTTTGTTTAGCATATTGCCTGTCCCAGAGGAGTGTCTTAAAAAAGTGTCCAAGTGAATAACTGAGTATTACTGTTACTATTATGAAAATGGACACAGTGAGGACTGATGTGACATCCTTATTCTCTCCTAGTATAATATAGGATACGTAAAGTATGCTAAAATTTTAGGAAATATACAAACAAACCCAGAATCAGGAGGCATTTACCTGTATGATCCCAATATCTCAATTGATAATAAAGTAAATAATTTTTAAAATTCTATATATATGAACTTTAAAATAATGTATGTAAAAAGAAAAACACAAAACTGGGAAAATATTTGTGATATAAATAACACTCGGGTTAATATATAATGAGCTTCTACAAATCAATTAGAAAAGGATAAAACAGCAAAAATACCATCAGACAGGTCGAAGTGAGATATAAAATAGCTACAAAAAATCAAAAATTGTGCTTTATAACAATAAAATTAAACTGAATAAACAAAATCTACAATATTAGACTACATTTATCTCCCAGATATTCAAAGATGTTTATCTCCTAATCAGCATTTAAAGAGAACACAGGATGAAGAGAAATAAATAAAATCATAAAGTGAACTAATGGCAAATCAATGAATTTATGGAGACTATTCCGTAAAAGAAAGGAGCCCTGGTGGTTCAGTGGTTAAGCAATTGGCTGCTAACCAAAAGGTCAGAGGTTTGAACGTACTAGCCACTTCACGGGAGAAAGATGTGGCTTCATAAACATCATTGCTTGATTTGGAAAATCAAATCCTGCTTTCACATAAAGAGGATTTAAGATGTAGTGGAGTTCCATGGCCTTTGATTCACAATCTCTATTTTACATTTTTATGATCAAAATATGAGGCTAAGATTGCACATGTTTATATAGGCTATGCTGACCCAGGATGGCTACTTAACTTGGCCTCTTCTAAAATGGCCTGGTAAGACTTAGCAATGCAGGATCTGAATGATCCTATTTTCCCTGCATACATTCTAGGGTTTTTATCTCTATCCTTTTCTCCAAAGATAAATGGTGTGTATATATATATGTGTGTGTGTGTGTGTATGTGTGTATATATATGTATATATATGTGTATCTTCCATTGATATATAACAATGTATATGTGTTCATTGTATTTCTCCTTAATTCAGTTTGTAGTTTTATGTAAAATTTACAGCCTCATCTAACTCTGAAAAAATAGATTATGTATAAATCCAAGGCACCCTTCCAATAATAGGAAATCCCCAGTTGTCCTGAAGAGCTCAAAATTCTGAAATAGAGCCTCAGGCTCTATTTTGCACAGAGAATAAGCGAATGATGCTTCTCTGAATCTGCTTTGTCTTGATACTGTATATAATGGGGTTCATAAGTGGAGGAAAGAGAAAGTAGAAATAGCTCATGGTAAGATGGACCATACATGGTGCATGTTTTCCAAACCGGTGGATGAAGGTCAAGCCTATGACAGTGATGTAAAAAACTAAGACACGGCAAATATGGGAGACACAGGTGTTGAGGGCCTTAGCTAGCTCCTCTCTGAAGGCAATGCTCATAACTGTCTTAAGAATTAGGACATAAGAAAAGACAATGATCATAACATCTAGGAAGAAAGTCAAAGCAACCAGAACTACAGGGTACAGGCGATTAAATGTGATATCAGCACAGGCAAGTTCCATGACGTCTTGGTGGAGGCAGAAAGCATGAGAAAGAACATGGGAATGGCAATATGGGAAAAAATAGAGTGGCATAATTGGGGGCAGAAGCGATGAAAAGCCCCTCATTAGTACCCCCAGGCCTACCTTCATTACCCGGGAATTAGTAAGGATAGAGTTGTATCTCAAAGGGGTGCAGATGGCAATAAAACGGTCATAGGCCATGGCAAGCAAGACACCTGATTCTACGATGGAAAGCGAGTGGATGAAGTAGGCCTGCAAGAAGCAGACCCTCTGACTGATCTCCCTGTGATTCAACCATAAGGTGCCCATGACAGTTGGCATTGTGGTCAGTGTCACCATGAGGTCTGTGCCTGCCAGCATGGCCAGGAAATAGTACATGGCTTCATGGAGACTGTGGTCATCCTTAATGAGGTAGAGAAGGGTGCCATTGCCAAGAAGCACAGAGAAGTAGACTGCAAAGAAGGGGATGGAGATCCAGTGATAAGCTATTTCCAGACCTGGGAAACCAGTCAGCAAAAAAGGGGCAGCACTAATATTGGGCCACTTAGTTGGCCTACGGGTGAAGAGCAGCTTTCTGGAAACAATGAATTCAGTAGCCCAGCTTTTTCAGTTTTCACTACCTTGTTGTGGAAAGATATCACAGCAGCCTCAACCACAATCTTCATGCTTAGGGATAACTAACTCATAGGATTGCCATGGTTCTGCAACTACTTTCCTGCAGAAAAAGAGTAGAGATTTACAGGCTGTACTTGTGATGATGCATAATGGTGTTCAAAGAATAAGATAAGGCTAATTGTTAAACTGTTCTCAATTTTTTTTAAATTCTCAATTTTTATTATAACATCAGGCCCCTCTACTGTATGTATGTTAGAAAAATGTTTGCATCCATAATGATAATTTTAAAAAGGATAAATATATACAAACGAATAACAATCTTGCATAGCCAGAGGGCTTTTTTTTTTTTTTTTTTTTGGTTGCTCATTTTTTGACACATTTAAACTTTAATTTTATATGTTACATTTACGAAATAAAATTTTCATTTCAAACATAGTTTTTGGTTAAAAAAAGCTAGTTTGTTTTGACACTGAATGTCAGTGTTTTATAGATAGCTAAGAAAATTGGACCATCTATTGAGAAAAATGAACAAGGATATTTCCACTTTTAGCCTCAAAGAACTCACAATTTTATTGAAGCACATCCATGTGTTCTACTTTAGAAACCCAAACCTTCCATGATCACATTTGCTGAAAAGACAGTGCTGTAGGTATTGCAACCTCACTTCATATCTGTTCCTCTATACAGACTCTTGAAAATCTTTCTAACCTTTTCTTTTGTCTGGATCTAAAATCAGAAGAGAGAGAGATCATCCCATACTTCTATTCTTAGCACTCACCCAGTCCGCAGTCTTGTTGCTGTAATGGGGACCTGTTTCTGTCTTATTTGAGGACTCAGTCCAGATGCTTCCATCTGAAAACCTGTTCAAGAGGCCCCACTAGAGAGCTTACGTATATTGAAATCACCTCCCCAGAGTTTCAGCTTTCCAGCCACCCAGGAGATTCCTTGATCTCCCCTCCCTCTCTCTTCTTTCAGGCAGAATTTGGGCCACTAAACCAAGGTCTTCAGGCCTTTTAAGTATTTCCCCAAGGATGGGGCAGCAAAACTGAAAATTCAAGTGCCAGCAGGAGTAGGATACCAGAGCTTGGTTATGTGAGCCTCAAAATCCTTGGCATCAAGGTTTAGGAAATCTGTGCTAGTCCTTCCCATCGTCTACCTCAAAAGTAAAGAATTTACCACTTGTTCTCAGTGATCTTATGTGTTGTTGATGGTCATAGAGCTTATGAATTCTAATATCATTCTGCTTTCTTTCTTTTTCTTTTTTTTTTTTTTAGGGGGATATTATTTCTGATCCAGAGGAACCTCCAGGTATCTGTTAACAGCCATGTGAATGAGGATATCTTATATTTTGTCTTAAAATTACTTTGTTTATATTCAGTTCATTGCCTATTTTGTGTAAATTTCAGGGTGAGGGACATGTTTTGTTCATTCAGAGAACTTAGAAATCTAATTTGGATTAGAAATAAAATATTTTCCACAAACTTCCATAGTACTATCATTACCGCATAGAGGTATTGTGCAAGGGGGAACACATAGAAGGTATCTCTGGGATCCCAGAGGAAGTAGTATTTAACCTGAAAGTTGAACAATGAAGATAAAAAAATACAGTAGTTGTAAGTGTAGTATAATACTTGTTGCATGTAGAGGAAAAAACATGGTATGCTGGGGCTAGAGAAAATATGGTGAATGTGAGAAAAAAATAATTTTTATATTAAAATTATACTTAAGAATTTTAGTGTTGCTAGAACAACAGAACATAAGGGAAAGCTTGACATAAAATGTGTTTGTGGTAGCAAGTTTGGGTCACATAGGTTCTTACAAATCACGTAAGGAGTTTTGACTTTATACTAAGGCTCTGACATAAAAGGGTGGACTATGATAAGATAATCATTGTTTAAAGGTCATGTTGGCTACAGCATGAAGAGCATATTGGAAACAGGAAGAGTGAGTAAAAGTAACAGGTTACAGAAATCCAGGTGAGAAATAGTATTGATTTGTATGTAACTAGGGTAGTTAATAAGGTTGGATAAAATATTCTATTTTTCTGTCTTCCCAACATAGAATCTTGCACAGAGAATGCCAGAACAAATATTTGGTGCATTGAAAATCTGAGTTCTAAAATTTCTGCCTGGAGATGTACCTACAAAATGTGGATATTGTATATTTTTTGTTCTGTAATAATCATATTTTCTTTTCTCTATATAGCACCGACACGTTAGCCCCATCTTTAGGTCAAGTGAAAAGTTTATTTAAAGCATCGAAACTACAACCTCCTTCCTCCAGGAAGTGTGTCCAGTTTTCTCCTTCAAGGTCAGATTGGACAATAGAACATCCATAGAGAGGGGCAGGTGGAAAAAGATATTAAGCTTTTTTTTGAAATTATCTGTTTAAGTGACTTATGACTTAGGAAGAATATTAAATAAAAATTAGGGGCCTACAACTCTTCAGACAGGGATTGGACTGAACTGTGGGACATAAAGTGATGCTGGTGAGGAGTGTGCCTCTTAGCTCAAGTAGATACAAGAGAGTAAATGGGCAGCTTCTGTCCGGAGGTGAGACGGGAAGGCAGAGAGGGTTAGGAGCTAGTTGAATGGACATGGGGATCGGGGGTGGAAAGGGGGAGTGTGCTGTCGCAGTATGGGGAGAGCAATTAGGGTCACATAACAATGTACGTATAAATTTTTGTATGGGAGAATAACTTGAAGTGTAAACTTCATTTAAACGGCAACAATTAAAAAAATATGAAGAAAAAAATATTTAGGAGCCTAGAGTGACACCTAACTCAGACTAGGAGGTATTTAAAAGAATATTTAACCCGCTGCCATCAAGACGATTCTGACACATAGCAGCCCTATACGACACAGTAGAACTGCCCATAGGATTTCCACTGTGCACTTGGTGGATTCGAACTGCCGACCTTTTGGTTAGTAGCCAGCCAAGCTCTTAACCACTGGGCAACCAGGGCTGTAAAGAATACCTAGACATCATAAATTAAAAGTAAATTCAGAATACTAATTTATCTTCATTAACTTTTTTGTGACAATAACAGAAGAAATGTTTTCAGATCATAAATTATTTATAGAGAATAACAAATATGTATTCTTGTTTATTATACATATGTGTATTAACATATATACACACATACACATATAAGCACATGCACATACCAGTGCAAAGCTTCTTCTTTCCTAGAGATGGTTTGCTACATTTGCTCATAGAATTCGACTATGGTGGCTAATTTCCCAGGTGTACTTGAAGCAAGAATTTAAGTATAGACTTTTTCAATTCCATGTGGTCCTCCTCAGAGATCTGTGACTAGGCTTCTATGAGGATGTTCCCTAACTCTATGCTAACTTACTTAATACCTTTGGCGGGGGTGGGGGGGACTTCATTTTCCAGTGTATCATTACTATTTGCTCAAAAAGAATCCAGGCTTTAGTTCTTCATCCTGTCTTTATCTTAGTGTCTATGTCTGGTTTGTTTCTTACCCACTGTCTCATATCATATTTTATGAATTATTTTATTTTGAATATTTTGTTAAAGTTGTTCTTTTAACACTAGCTTATATTGGGGGAGAGGTCATTATAGTGAAAATTCCCCAATAGAAAGCCTGTTTTATCTTGTGCTCTCCCTAGACACGGATGCAAAGACACTTGTGTTCTCTAAGTTTCTTTTTGTGTCAACAACTTCCATTTGTTTCTATCGTTCTGCACACCCTAGTCTTCCAGCACATTTGCCTGGCTTTTACTGTGATTCTTAATAATCAGGCAAAAAGAAACACATGCTAAAAAATGATTTCAATGGATGACTATTTAATAAATACATTAATGTCTTCTCTTAAAGGCTCAATCCTACAGAATAGAAAGTTTCCTTTAGCAATTTTAATAAGTCACAATTTTATTATTTAGATTTTAATTCATCCTCATATTTCTAGAATTTTTAATTAAAATTCTTTTGATTAACAGATTTAACACTTTAATGACATTGATGTTTCTAAAGTAACATAATTCAGAAATATAAGATTCTCTTTGCTTCCTCCCCAAATTTCCTTTCACATAATTTTTTAAACTATCAGTAAATCCTATTAATCATAGATTCTAAATATTTCCCATTTTTATCCACTGTATTCATCTTCGCTTTCCTAATTTTATCTACGAGCATGTCTTCCTAGAACTACTAAAATATCCTCTTGTCGTTTTTCTTATATCTCTCTCGCCTCACACAAATCCACAGCCACTGAAATTACAATCTGTAAACATCAATGAAATTAGTCACTCTCCTGCTTAAAACTCTTCAATAGGTTCCTGTGATTCTTTAGGAGTATACAAATTGTGACTACAAACAAAAGATGCTATATGATTTGGCCTCTTCTCTTCAGTCTTTCCTCAGACCCATCTCCCTCTTTGAGTTCCCACATTCTCTGGAAGTTTCCATGATTCATTCTTCATAAGGCCCCTGCACATGTTCTTTTGTACTTAGAATATTCTTATTTCTATTTTCACCAGTTAATTTCTAATCCATCCTCAGACGCCAAATGAAAGAACTTTTTTCCAGGGAAAATTTCTGTTACCTCAGTCCAGATGTGGCCCTTTTTGAGACCCACTACCTCAAAGCAATGTGGGTTTTTTTTTTTTTTTTTCTGTTTGATCATTGATCATAGGAGTTATTTTAAATTTGGGTTTATTTGATTTTTGGCTTTCTGGTGGATTCCATTCTACATGAGGGAACAGTTTATGCCTATTTGTTTCCAGTTAGATACATTTTGCTTAGCATCATTCCTATCTCTTGCCCTAAAACATTGACCAAATCAGTGAGTGAATATTAGTGCTACTACCACAAAAATAGAGCCCTGGTGGCACAGTGCTTAAAAGCTCGGCTGCTAACCAAAATCTGGCAGTTCAAACCCACCAGCCACTCCTGGGAAACCCTATTGAGCAGTTCTACTCTGTCCTATAGGGTCATTATGAGTCAAGATCAACTCGATGGCAATGGATTCGATATTGGTACCACAAAAATAGGCACAATGAGAAATGATTTCAGTTCCTTACGCTCAACCAAATACTAACCTATCGTAACATGTTATTGTTAGGTGCCGTCGAGTCAGTTCCGACTCGTAGTGACACTATTTACAACAGGATGAAACGCTGCCTGGTCTGCACCATCCTCATGACCGTTGTTATGCTTAAGCCCGTTGTTGCACCCACTGTCATTCCATCTCATTGACGGTCTTCTTCTTTTCTGCTGACCCTCTACTTTACCAAGCATGATGTCCTTCTCCCGGGACTAGTCCCTCCTGATGACATGTCCAAAGTACGTGAGACAAAGTCTCACCATCCTTGCTTCTAAGGAGCATTCTGGCTGTACTTCTTCCATGACAGATTTGTATAGGATATGTATAAATAAATTAAGCAAGAAAAATAAGAAAACGTATAAATAAACCTGCAATTGAGGAGGCCTTTACATATGGCCCCAGAATCCTAATGTTGTTGTTAGGTGCCGTCGAGCTGGTTCTGACTCAAAGTGACCCTATGTACTACAGAATGAAACACCGCCCAGTCATGCACCATCCTCACAAACATTGTTATGCTTGAACCCATTGTTGCAGCCACTGTGTCAATCCATCTCCTGGAGGGTCTTCCTCTTTTTCTCTGATCCTCTACTTTACCAAGCATGATGTCCTTCTCCAGGCACTGATCCCTCCTGATAACATGTCCAAAGTATGTGAGATGTAGTCTCGCCATCCTTGCTTCTTAGGAGCATTCTGGCTGTACTTCTTCCAAGACAGATCTGTTTGTTCTTTTGGCAGTGCGTGTATATTCAATATTCTTCACTAACACCATAATTCAAAGGCATTAATTCTTCTTCTGTCTTTCTTATTCATTGTCCGACTTTTGCATGCAGATGAGGCAATTGAAAATACCATGGCTTGGGTCAGGTGCACCTTAGTCCTCAAAGTGACATCTTTGTTTTTTAACACTTTAATCTACTCACATAATTTTTTTTTATTACTCCTTCACCATCTGCTGGTTCTCTTTCTGTGTTCTGCCCTTTCCAAAATAATTTGGCATAACTAAATGCTCAGGTTCTTCCTTTATGTCTCCACTAATCTTTCCCTTTCTCTCTCTCTCCTTTTCTTCCAACAGTTAACTCCTGAGGAGTTATTACAGACATGTGACTGGTCAGATTCCGATGTTCCCACAGCCTAAGAATGTCAGTTCTCTCCACTATTTTCATTTCCTTGGGTGCTCCAACCCAAAATAAAAAAAGCCTATTATCTACAGTTGCAGTCATATTTCATTGTAAATTCAGAAGCGTGAAGGCAAGCATTCTGAGCAGTGGAATGCTTCCATTCTTCCTAAGATGGCCGTAGGTATCAATCAGAATAAATCACATATAATCTAACTCATGTGTGAGGAAATACTCTGAGGTACATCTGTATGAGACTGGTGTTCATTGAGATAAAAATCACCAATCCTGGGAGTCCCCTGAAATTAAAGGACATTTAAGTCAAAAGGAGATTTAAATTATGATTATTTCACAAATGTTGTTCTACTCCCAAAAACTCATTTAGGCTCAAAAACATAAGAAAGCAACCTATAAGGGGAAGAGAAGACTGCTCAGGGAGTTAGAGAATTAGTGGTATGTATCCTGAGGGTTGCCATGAGTTGGAATCCACTCAAAGACACCTAACAACAATGACAACTAACAACAATGACATCCTGAGGGTAAAAATAGCAGAAAGATATAAAGTCCTGGATTCATTTAAGAAAATAATTTCTAAACGATTAACTAGATTTCCAGACTAAAGAGACTTTGTAAAACTCAGAAACATTTTTCATCTTCTCTCTGAAAATTAATTGGGTCTCCTCAGAAACAGGTAATTCAACTTCAAGACAAAAAAGGTCACGTGCATTTACAATTTTCTTTAATAGAACGACTTTGAGAAACAGGGAGGCTACATTTCCTTACATAGCCAAGCTTGACTTATAAAAATAGTAAGACATAGAGAAGTTTACAGAAGCTCTAAGAATGTGAAAAGCTGGCCATGTCCCTTACGCTTTTGCAATAAAGGAAAAACACAAGTAGAAACTTGTCCAGGACTAAGAGAGGACTCCAATATTTATCCAGAGTAGGTATGTCGACTTCTAGGGGCACAAGATAGAGGTCCTAGCTATTTACCTCAGGGATAGGACCATACTGCATACGTCCTTACCTAGCCTACCCTACATAGCAAAAATTCCATAAAGAGAGCATGATTATATATGGGTTTGTTTTTTCACAACTATTAATAAAATTAGTTCAGAAGTGCA